CCCTCATAAAAACCTCTTCCATATCAGTACAGCAATTGTCCCACTTTTTGCACAGAATTACACAAAATTAAGGAAATAAAAAAACCATAATAGTTTGAATTTCAAATCTTCCACTGACAAGTCCCTGACGACAAAACGGCAATTATCAAATTGCTGTGTGAGAAACGCAGCACAGCGAAATACCTGCCCCTAGTTCAGCTTGTTCATAAAGGCTTAATCGCTGTGTGATGAATCACAAACTTTACTACACATCTGATCAATTTTAAAAATTTTATTAGCCTACGGTACAAGACGGCTCCACAGGAAGACTCCACCTAAGCGTTAAATCAGCGATGACTAAAATAATAGCCCTGTCGACTGCAACAGTTTTTTCAAGCCTTTGCTATTGCTACTATTAAAAAATAGATTTCACCGCGTTTTGTGGAAAGTTTGTGATCTTTTACTTATCAAAAACTAACAAAAAATTCCATACTTTTAGGATTGTCCCAAATTAAGTGTTGACATATCACTATTTTCAAAAATTAACCATGCCTAACAGAATTACAGAACTATCCTAAAGGTAAAGTTAATTAGAAGCCTAAAAATTATATTTTCTGACTGAACACCTTCGAACTTTTTAGCCACACTCACTCGTAAATGAAGCGCAATGCCCCTAATACTGAAAAGCCTTGAAACAGACATAAGTAGGTACTTTTACAAATGACACCCACAAATTTGCCTATTCACTCAATGTGTTGTGACCTCACCCCCTATTAATCAGAACGAATTTCGAAGTACCTTCAAAAAATCTAACAACATAACATGCAACCTCAGCCTAAATTATATGAAATTTGCTCAGAATTTCAGGTGCTGCCTATCGCTGACGAACCGGAAACCGATGGGAATTCAAAGACAATAAAGTCGTCATGAGATCCCAGCAATCAAAAAAGCCAGAAATTTTAGAATAATACGAGAAAGCAGAAATATGCAAAAAAATAAACATAAGTTATGGAAAATCAAAGCAAGTTAGGAAAAGAAACGATATAATGTAAAACGAACCATTTAAATGCTGAAAGGGATAAGTATGAAAGCGATGAAACAAGGCGTATTTAATTATCTGCGGTTAGGGAAGTGCAACTAACTAGGAACCAGTAAAAAATGAACACTGGTTATCGTCACAAAAGCTAGATATTCCATCTTTTGTTTTTGTTTTTGACCTTAATTGAAAATGCCCTAACTGCTTTCTAACAATAATAACGAAAAATAGCTTTTCCGATTAAAAGCGTATTGTAGCTGTTTATAAAAAGAATAACAGTAACCTTTCAGTGACATCATCATCTGACTGAATTAAACGCGAAAATTAATATAAAGATTAAGTGAAGGGACGGGAGATCAATCCTGTATCACAGACCCCTACTCTACAGCACATGTACAAAACTTATCCATTTATTATGATAAAAAATTAACTAAATTTTATACTATAAAGATGTAATGTTTGATTAGTAACTTCAGGATTCAGTAATCAAGCAAATACAAGTTTCTCCTAACTAATCAATACTGCAGAAAAAAAAGCAAATGAATGATCTGGCAGGATATACTTTCTCGCCTATTGGTTTTACTACAAGCAGTTCAAAAATTAATCAGCAATACCAACAACTTTTTGTATTGAAACAGTTTTTTTTTTAATACGGCGGCTTATCACCTCTCAAAATTCTCTAACCTCAGGGTTTCCTGAGCTGAGGAGGATTTATCATAATGGTTTTTATAAACCCCTTCATTCAAAAAAAACTTTTTCTTTACTATGCAGACATAGTAGTTAAAGATGCTGCCCACTGTCCATTGAACGGGTACGGATTGGAAAACTTCCACCTTACCAAACAGCACCCTTTAAGTCCGCCTATTAAAGATTAAGTCGCTTTTGTTCTCAAAAGTGTAAGGATGCTGATAAACGGTACCAGTAAAAATTAAAATTGAAAAATCTTCGTACTGAAGCTTACAGAGCGAGAACTCCGTTACAATTACCGAGAAGTCGACAGCACGGAAAATAAATCGCAAAACGATAGATAGAATAAAAATAAATACAAAATGCTCGAGTTCTAAAAAAAAACAAACGATCATATAAGCGAGTGGACCAGTTGAATAATTCAAGGTGTATACAAATTAAGCAAAAACAAAGAAATAAAAACATGTAGCAATTCAGGCAAAAGAAAAACAAATCAAGCAAAAACAAGAAATGACGCTTTCAGAAGCGTTTTTACCCACACCCCAATTTGTGTTTAGTTCCATGACATTTAACAAATACGTCGGTGGTATAAATACGGCATATGCGACCGGATAAAACCTGCAAGCAAAGTAGCTAAGTTTAGCCGCTTCTTTTCATCATGCTACACTGGTAGTCTTGCCAGTAACGTGTGTATGCGCAAATTGCCCTCCGAAAAGTGAAGCTATGAATAATATAGTTCCTTCTGTCCGTAAAAGGAACAAATTTTGACCTCCCTCCGGGAAAAATGAAATAGACGTGAACTACCACGACTGAAGTCAAAAAGCCCCGACAAACTGCAATATAAAGCACAAGCGGACGAGTGTAACCAACATAAAATTAGCACTACCTAGAACTAGATATATTCTATTCTACAGAAGCGCGACATGTGCACCTCAACTCTTGACTGCCCGAGGGAGCGCAGTAAGTAAAAAACTACAAAAAAATAGCTACTTTCTATTTCCCCAAACAAAACCTGCTCTTTTCTTACACCAGAGCAATTAATAAAACTGAAAGATTACAAAGTGTTCGATCGCCCATACCACCCGCCTTCTTAGGGAATCAGTCACTAGCCACAGCAAAAATAAAAATGGCATGTTTATGTCACTCGTTATTTCGACTCTTAATCTCAGCTTCTGTGCTACACGTCTGTTTAAAGGAACCACGCACAATGTACAGCCTCTAAGTCCTGCGACTACCTCTGCACGTGTTCATCGTACTAAGCAGCCAAACTGCCTTCTCACGGTGACCACTGGATCAAAGATTTTTCAGTAGGACGATAATAAATGATTCCGTTTAACTCAACAACCTTCAGGAACCTTGTTAACGCTACAAGCGTTTTTCTTGCCAGCTTTGCCGTTCTGCGTCTAATCTGGTAGCAGAAAGTATTACTAAGCAAATAATAATCAACAGACGGAACTAAATTCAGGGGTTTGCCGTGATAACACTATCAAAATGCATTAAAAATAGTGTTCTCATCCACTGCTACTTGTACGCTGACGCACAAGGAATCTGGTGCATACAAAGACTCCTGTAGTTTTGATTGAAATAAGTCCTTTCAAGGGAAATGTCTAAATGATATACAAAACCAGCGAGAGTCTCTTTCCCAAAAGAAAATTTTGCTTTAATATGCAAAGTGCATTCCGATCATCCAACATTAGTCGACGTCAGCAAGCGGAATGGCGCGATTACTCATAGATCTGGCAGTCTTCGTGTGCACCACACATGCTACTGCCTAAAGTGGGAAGGTACTGGACGGAAATGCTTTACTGGAATGATGAATTATTGGTTAAAGTTCAGACAAAAATATGCAATCAGAAGCAGCTGAGAAATCTGAAATCCAGATACACGAAAAATGGAAACTTTTTTAAGGATCAAACAATGATTTTCCGAGAACACAAACCTCACCAAATAGGACAAGTACTAAACAGCGAAGTTTCGCCATTGAATAAAAGAAACAGAAGAACCGCAACGGCGAAGACTGTGTTTGAAAAAGTAATGAAACTAAAAGTAACAACTGAAGTATGTGAAAAACTGGAAATAAGATGGCCAATTTGCTATAACCTTGCTGAAAAATCGTCAAATTCTGCGAGAATTACAAAACCCCTTCGACGATACAAAAATTATTATTACATTCCGCGTTCACCCCTCCTTTTGTTGATGTTTTTATCATGGCTGTAGTTTTCTAAAGTCAGCACAAATGGTCCGCTAAGGATGTGACTTCTGCGCAATTGACATTTTATAGTTTTACCTGCTTCCTTTTCTTTTTTTCAGTAATTCCTCTTATAAATTTTATTTTTCAATTATTTGCACTTTTTTCAAGTTAAAAAATGAATTTGACTTCAAAGAATAGAAAGCAGCAAAAAATAAATTGAAACTAAACGAATTAGAAGTGAATTAAAAGCAAATCAAAGAACTATACTTTCGTCATTCCAGTGCTCCGCCCAAAAATAAGCCAAATATTCAGTTCTAAATAACCGTTATTTGGCTGTGTCTCGCCCAGTCAAGACAATGAATAACAAAATTAGCATTGA